AAACATAGGGAACCCCAATATCTTTCTTCGGAGCAGTTTCTTTTCCCGTCCCCTCGCCCCGGCATAGCGCTTCGCTTCGGTTCTTCAAAGGAATCAACTGACTTCTCCCTTCACTACTAGGGAAAAGGCTAGCAGCAGCGCGGGTTTTAGGCCTATCAGCAGCGGGTACCCGCGCTACCAATAAGGTGCTACAGCTAACTCTTAGTAGTAGCGCTACCACTATTGACTATAGCAGCAGCGCTTTTTCAGGAATGCGCTGCTATTACTTAGCTGTAGCGATTTCCCGGTCCAGCGCTACTGTTATATCTTTCACCATTTCCCCATTCCGGCTTCGATAAACTGCAATTTCCAGATACTAGGTACTACCAGATATCAATTTCATAAAGCATTATAGGTACTAGGTAGTACTCCCTCGGTTCGAAATTACTCGTCGTGGTTTTAGTTCAAATTTGAACTCAAACCACGACGAGTAATTTGGAACCGAGGGAGTACTAGATAACAATTTCATATATACTCAACATGCATCCTCAAGCAGTACAAGGTGACATCGACGACAATCATCATATTTAGTTCTAGATGATATCGACGACGATCATCATATGTAGTTCTACATGATATCGACAACGATCATCATATGTAGTTCTAGATGATATAGCCACATACACATATGTAGTTCTAGATGATATCGACGACGATCATCATCCTCAAGCCTGGGCGGTGGGTGTTCCTGATAGTAATTAGGGTGGCCTATCCAGCACGAAGATTCTTGCCAACGAGGAATCTCTTCCACCCAACCGAGTTCAAGTGTGTGCGACCATCTGTGCCCATGCGGTAAGTACATGTGGTGACGGAGCCCCTTACGGTAAGGCGTAGTCCAACTAAGCCTTCTTCATCAGGCTCGATACCACAACTCACAGATGGGTTCTTTGGCAATCTCTGAATAAGAAAAACATATCAATTAATAAATAGCCTAAGCATGTGATCAGACTCTACGTTAAAGTATATCATCGACTAGATTCCACAAAGCATATCATTGGACTCTACACTAAGCATATCATCGGATTCACTAAGCATATAATCGGATAATTTGCATTTGTAAGTATAACAATAAAGCATATATATATCATCAAATTACTACATGCAGTACGTATAACATACCATTTCATGCCGATCGACCATGGTACTTGTCAGGCGGGTCACGAATGGCACCCCGACAAAGTTATCACGTGGCGGAATTATGTCCCATAGGTTGCACACCTCCTCCTCGCTCAGCCTCATTCTTTGAGCTATGATGGCTTCATGAAGTGGGTTCTCATCATCTTCATTGAGTGGGTCCTCATTATCTTCATCATCTTCGTCATCTTCATCATCTTTCACCAGGTTGATATAAATGACAACCAGCTTGGGTCTTTCTGCTCTGAAGGAGAATCTGATCAACTCATCACCAGTAAGACGCATGCGAGCGAGGAAACGGGCCCATCCATCTCCTCCAATCTGTGACATATTGCGTCCTTTCTCGACCTCCATAGTATACGGCCCCCAGGAGCCTCAAATGTCACAGTGTCTCCTGTCAGCTTGTTGAATTTCAATCTCACATTGCATGGGACGATCTGTGTAAGAAAAGCAAAATGACACAATGCAGTAATGTCAGCACTAAAAATAAAATAGTTGTTACATTTCATCTAATTTCTTACCACCGCATGACGAAAACTCGGGTGGAAGTAGATGCCGAACAGCTTGCCAGTTGCAAGGCTGCTGGCGCACCTTGACTTGCACAGTCGACATAGTGGTGCTGGTGGTGGCGCCATTTTACTAAATCAACTAAATCAAAATGTTCTAAATCAACTAGCCTACTAAATCAACTAGCCTACTAAATAAACTAAATCAAAATGTTCTAAATCAACTAAATCAATTAGCCTACTAAATCAACTGAATCATATCAACTAAATCGACTAAATCAACTAGCATACTAAATCAACTAGCATACTAAATCCACTAGCATACTAAATCAACTAAATCAAAATGTTACATATGAAAGCCTACTAAATCAAAATGTATCAGGGAGGAGGGACAAGGAGGGGCGACTCGAGGAGGGAGAAGATAGTAGGACGGAGGAGGAAGGCGGAGCGAGGAGGGGCCGGCCGGCGGCGAGTGGAGGGAGGACGGATCGAGGAGGAAGGCGGAGCAAGGAGGGGGCGGCCAACGACGAGTGGAGGGAGGACGGAGGAGGAGGCCGGTACCGAGTCCAGCGAGGAGGATGAGGCGACAGCGGTGCAGATCGGGGGAGGGGCGACGGGGGAGGACCGGCGGCGCGGGGGGTGAGGAGGAGACCGTGAGTATGTGTGAGTGTGATATGTGGATGAGGCTAGTGAGATCTGTAGTTAATTTAGCAGTAGCGATTATTGCCTGAATGCGCTGCTGCTATGTTACGTAGCAGTAGCACTGTCTATTTTAATGCGCTGCTGCTATAACTAGCCACGCGGCGGCGTCGTGGGAATTTTAGCAGTAGCGCCGCTTGGAGTGCGCGCGCTACTGATAAACTTGTTTCAGCAGCGAGTTTCCACAGCTCGCGCTACTACTACTTAGCAGCAGCGCCTGATTTTATAGCGCGCTGCTCGTAAGATTCTGTGTATAGGCTTTTTTCTAGTAGTGCTTCTTCATTGATCCGGGGGAAAGGGAACCGTCTACCGTCTACCAGTTTCTTTAAAGATCGTGAACATTTTTTAACAATTTTCTTGAATCGGCAAACATTTTTAGAATGGACGAACATTTTCCTGAAAATTGTCGGAACAAGTTTTGAAATTCACAAACATTTTTCTGATTTAGCGAACATTCTTTGAAATGCATTATCATTTTTTTCAATAATCGAATATTTTATGAATGGATAAACTATTTTGTAAGTCACGAAAAGTTTTTGAATTTTTATGATATTTCCCATTAACGAATTTTTTTGAATTGGCAAAATTAGTTCAATTTTATTAACATTTCTAAATATAAAAATCATGAATATTTTTTGATTTCTCGAACATTCGTTTTCAAAATTTTAAACTTTTTTTGAATAAGCAAGAACTTTTTTTATAAAATCACGAACATCTTTGAATAAATAAACATTTTATGATTTATTAAACATTTTTTTAAAAATCTATTTTTGGATGGGCCGGCCTAAGCGCGGGAATCCCTGTGTGAAACGTTTATTATCACTAATAGATGGTATTGGTGTATAATATTTTGTAACTTTTGAGGAAATTTTCATGATGTAATGTTAGAAGCAATATCCCTTTATTATTAGTACCAAACAACTTGTGCGTTGTAATGGGAGAACAAAAATAATCTTCAATGTCCATGACCACATTTTGCTGCATCACCGAGATACACTATCACGCTTATTTTCTTTAAATTGTGAATAATTTTTAAAAATCATGAACATTTTTATAACTCATGAAAATATATATGAAATCATGAACATTTTTCAAATTAGTGTATTTATTGCTCTTGAGTGAGATACGTAACAGAATTCATTTTAGCCTGAGAAATCATTGCACATTGCTACAGAAAAAGAGACGTACAAAGAAGAGAAAAGAAAGAGATGCGGTCACCTATACTTGAGCTCCAGACGGATTGTCTCTCTCCGTTGCCACTTACGAGGGATGAGGACGAAGGCGGCGGCGCCATGGATGGCTCGGCCTCCTGGTCCGTCTCTCCGGCGCCACGCGCTGCAGGCCGAGGCGTGAGGACGGCGATAAAGATTGAGGTCGAGAAGATTTGGTCGATGGTGGTCGCGTAGGCGATTGGGAGCAGGAGGAGGACGATCGGCGCCCTTTCCCTCGTCCGGTCACCGAACCCTATCAGCTACCTCCTAACAGATCCACGACCACACAATGGTGTTCCCCCAATGGATGGCCACTCTTAGCATCCACAGGTGCAGGATTCGCAGCGGCGGCGTTGGAAACACTCGACGCCGATGTTGTGCAGGGGAGAGGCGAAATCGAGGGCAGGGAAGATGGATGAGGATCGACATTGCTTCAGGAGGGAGGAAAAGGCGTGAGAAAATAGACCGACGGCACCGCAGCACGGACGGGGGGCTTGGCCCCGCGAGACAGAGAGATCCGATGTTGCCACTGCTCGGGAGCGCGGGTCTACGCCAAGGGCCGATCCTCCTCATCGCCGTCGTTTTACGAGTGGCCGCGGTGTGGCTAGCATCGCATCGACGGAGGGGAGACGAGGCAGGGTATGGAGAGGGGGTGAAGGGGAAGCAGTGGCGGCGGCGGCGAGGGAGAGGAGAGACGAGAAGAGGAGAGGTTGCGTGTGGGGGAGAGGGCGTGCAGTGCAGGGCTGGGCCGCGTGTGTGAGGCCTTCTTTACTGCGCCCACCAAAAATTATCGACCGACAAAACAGTGCCCTCCTCAGCCCCTAATGCACACGCGGACACGCTCGTGGCTCGCTCCTTCCGCGTAGCTTAATGGGTTTGATGTTTGAGCATTTTAGATCAATTTGTTCAATGTTTGATGGTCTTCACTTTGCTTTGCATGTTATGCCTGAAACTTCGAATTTCAAAAAATATAGATTAATAGTAGTGTTGAATGTATGCGTGCAATCTTAAAAGCTTGCTTTTCTTCCATGTCAAACATGAGTTCAAATTGTTTGTATAAGTATGAGCGACACGAGGACACCAAAAATGCCAACAAGCGCGAAGATCCATGGTGTTCCCCGCCTCCCGGCGTCGAAACTAAGCTCTAGTACACAGTTTCTGAATTTAACCTAGGGTTGCTTGACAAAAAACTTCATCAGGATTACCCAAAACTCCAGTGAAGTTCTCAAAAGTTTCAGTTGAGTGTGTCGTATATCCAGCACGTAGTTCTACGTATACCCGTAAGTGTTTCTACAAAAGGAGCCTAAGTATCCATCTCATCTTGAGATAATTCCCTGTCTGCTTAATTAACTGATGTCACACACTATCTGTAAAAGAAAACTGAAACTAAGCTCTAGTACACAGTTTCTAGCTAGCTAGTCTCTTCGCTGTCTGTGGTGGGAAGCTTCGCGTGCTGCCCTCCCCACAATCTCACCCTCTCCAGCGCCCTCGATGCCTGCTCAAATCAACACGCGCGCGACACAAATCAGGACACACATTTTTACAAATCTTCCATTGATCAGTAAGTACAAATTTGAACCAAACATTAGTTACCTCTGCTTTCCAGTCGGTCTTGAAGACCATGTACATGAGGATCCCCGTCTGCAACGCCGTCCCGCACAGCATGCCCGCCCAAATCCCCTGCAACAATCAATCAGATCAAGATCAATCAGCATTGCAGCAATGCGATCGACCATGGTGGATGCTGGAACTGATCGGAGGTGGTGGGGTGGTGTGCATGGTTAGCTGCTTACCCTGACGCCCCATCGGAAGAGGTAGCCGAAGATGAACCCGAGGGGGAGGCCGAAGGCGTAGTAGCAGCCGAGGTTGATGTAGGCGACGGCGGCCTGCCAGCCGCCGCCGACGGCGATGCCGGAGATGACGGGCTGGATGCTGTTGAGCACCATGGTGACCGCGAGCAGGCCGGCGATGTTGGCCACGGCCTTCTGCAGGTGCCGGTCGCCCGTGAAGATGACGGCGAACTCGTTCCGCGTCGCCAGGATCAGCACCATGGCAGCCAGCCCGAGCGCCAGCGACTGCGCCAGCACCACCGCCACGGCGTGCACCGTGGCGCGCGGCCGGCCGGAGCCCAGCTCGTTGGACACGCGCACGCTGATGGCCGCGCTCAGGCCGATGAAGAGCATCCCCTCCCACCCGTTGATGTTCATGCAGATGGAGATGGAGTCCACGGCGATCTCGGCGTCGTCGAGGTGGCCCGTGAGCACCACGAGCACCATCATGTACCAGATCTCGAGGCAGAGCATCACGGCGGAGGCGAGGGAGAGCTTGACGAAGGCCCAGAGCTCGTTGAACGCCGCGCGGGACAGGCCCGTCCACCCGTCCCGGCACCACCCGACCACGTACGCCACCTGCGCGAGCGCGGTCAGCCAGGAGGAGATGTCGTAGGCCGCCGCGGCGCCGGCGATGCCCCAGCCGAGCAGGGACACGAAGAGGGCCAGCAGGCCGACGTGCGCGATCAGGGCGGCGAAGCCGATCCACGCCAGCGCCACCACCTTGCTCTGCGCCTGGAGGAACTTCTGCGTGGGGAAGTTGATGGCCAGCGCGAACATCTGCGGGATGATGCGCAGCGTGAACTCGCCGGCGGCCGCCGCGATGGCTTCCTCCTGGCCGAGCAGCCGCAGGATGTTCCCCGCGAAGATGTAGAGCGGCGAGAGGAGGAGGGCCGAGGCCGTGAGGATGATCCACGAGCGCTGCATGTACACGCCCAGCATGGCCACCTGCCCCGCCCCGAACGCCTGCCCGCACAGCGTCTCCAGCGCGCTCCCCATGCCCAGCTGCATGCATGTTCCATGCATCCATTGTCAATTCGATCTGGATCGCCATGATCGGTGGATCGGAGGAGGAAGAACAATCATAAAAGGAGGATGGGGACTCACGAGGAAGCCGAAGGAGAAGTTGGAGACGACGGAGAGGCCGATGGCGACGGCGGAGAGCTCGCGGTTACCGATGTGGCCGACGAAGATCTGCGTGGTGGAGTTGGTGCCGTAGAGGCAGAGGATGTTGAACGCGATCGGCGCGCCGATGGCCCACAGCCGGCGCGACTCGTCCGCGAAAACCGCCAGCCCGGCCTTCGCCGTCCGCACCGGCGGCGCGTCCAGCGGGTCGTCATCCGGCTCGTCGCCTTCGCCGCCGACGGTGGCCACGAGCGCGCCGGTCTCGTCGTCGCGCATCGACACTACCATGCTGCTGCTGCTGCTGCCGGCAAGGGGGTCCTCGTCGTCGTCGTCGTCGTCGCCGGGCTTCCTCGGCGTGGAGGCGGGGGTGGGGGGACCGAAGGCGCCGACCCGGTGGAGCGCGCGCGGGCTGTGGGTGTTGTGTGGCGTGGTGAAAAGGAGAGGCTCCGTGTATGCCATGGCAGGCAGCGGCCGGTGGTGGTGGTGGTGTAGACGGTGGTGGCGGCCGGTGGTGAGCTCCTCTACCCTATTTGGGGCGGATGGTTGAGCAGCCTCGTCTCTAATTTGTTGCGATTCCGTTGCTTTATAATATCTCTTCGTCTTTTAATTTTTTATATTTATTATAATAAATGTCTGTTTTGTTGCTGCGATCTATAGTATGATTCAAAAATGAAAACAAGATCAACAACCCGAGGCAGTGCTAGGCGTCGGTGCGTCGGCCACCAGCAGCTCTGCATCTTCTTTCTTCTCCCCCTCGG